GCTTGGTTGAGAGAAAAATTGCCACTAACAATATTTTACTATCTTTGAAAGATGTCGAGTTGAATACAATCCAGGGTCGGGTTTTCTCTAAAATACGCTAAACACATATACTTGAGACCCTGAAAAGCGTCACCGTCATTTAAAAAACGAGTGTTTCGGAACTTGTCTGAGGATTAAGTCTTGACCACCTTGAGAAATGTGTCCGCAACTCAAATGATGGTACATTTAATATTCAAAGGCACTGTTTAGGCTTCAAGTTTCAGTACTCTGCTATCGAAGGAAGCTCCAATGTAGATCCATGTTTGGTGCCATGCACATGTCTTAAATCTTATTGGGTCGGAAGCTACCAAGGGCATGATGAATTGCATTGCAGTATTCTTTCGGGAATCTTACCAGTGTGTGAACATCTGGAGTAAAAACTCTACAGCAATCTTACGCTTGGGAACTATCAGAGAAGCTAGGTAGTGGTCAAAAGATGCTGCCTTTTTTCGTTTCATTTAGCAGTCCAATCGGGGCGCTTTTCGCAGAAGTTATGGCCAGCCTTAACCGTATATTAGCTGCTGACGCAGTCAATCAACTTGAAGGCTAAGGTGAAAGAAAGCATTGACAGTCTCGCAAAGTTTGAAACTGTTTTCACTGCACAAGTGCACAAGTATCTGCAAATATTCTCTCGTACTAGAGCGCTTCCCAAGTATATGCAAACTAGACTAAGTAATTGGGCCTGTTTACTGTGCATAGGAAGGTTGCTATCGAATATGCAGGTCCTTCTTCATGACTTCGAACTTCGAAGCTTCTCAAAACGCTACTAACTGGAAAGTATTCAGTGGCCGAATTACAAGCTGGAAGAGAGTGATTCAGATCTTTTTGTGGAAGAGTAGCCTACTCTTAGGTGCAGACGCATGGACGACGAACTGTCCACAGACGACTTATAGATGCCAGAAGTATCGTGTTGAATGAAGTGCAACTGTGCTGTTGTGAGCAGCACTGCGCACGGTTTGTCAGATCAGCAACACAAGGTTCGGTTGAGAACCTCTCGCGTCTTCGCCCAATAAACTTCAATAAAGTCCAAACGAGGACTTGGGAAGAGCTTCAGAAGTACAACATGTCATTGAGGTTTGATGATGGTGCCAATGCTGAAGAATTGCAAACAGAACAGCGAACCCTCGGAAAGCAATGGCAAACACTGAAACATATGTTTATACAGAGGAGGAGAATAGTCACAGTGACAGCGAATCTGATCAGAACGTGAAAACGGTATCCTGTGTCTACAAAAGCACTGGGCTTGCCGGCACACGGTGCTATTAACCATGCCTGTGACTTACACTGTATATGAAGGATCTTCTTTGTGTCTTGAAAAGAACCACAAGTCGCCCCAGACGTGCAGTGACACGAAAACATCTTGAGGCTTTCATGTAGAATGTCTGTGGAAAAGGAGATTCTGACCAAACTGGACAGTGAGGATAAAATCTTCGATACTGCCTCTTCCAAAAACAAGTAGACATCTAGAGTTGGATGTATTCTTAAGCTGTTATAGGCTAAGTCGTGAGTTTACTTTGGTTGTATATTACTTTTTTAAAACACATACACTCTCTGTATGTCAGTCTGTCAGTCTGTCAGTCTGTCAGTCTGTCTGTCAGTCTGTCTGTCTGTCTGTCTGTCTGTCTGTCTGTCTGTCTATCTATCTATCTATCTATCTATCTATCTATCTATCTATCTATCTATCTACTTCCCCCCCTCTCTCTCCTCTCTCTCTCTCTCTCTCTCTCTCTCTCTCTCTCTCTCTCTCTCTCTCTCTCTTTCTCCCTCTCCCTCTCCCTCCCCCCCCCCCTTTTTTTTTCGTACTCAATCCCCTAACGTTCTCTTAAATTGTATTAACTTTAAAAAAGAGGGAAAGCGAACAGAGAGTTTATTTTCACCTTTTACCTCAGACTTGTAGCCATTTTTTTAACAAACAAATTCCGTGTTACTTTGAGCACTGACTTTATTCTTTGAAGAAAGAAAACGCATTAATTAATCTTTTTGAATAGTCTTCAGGTTCTAATTGGCTCTGTACAGCAGAATAGAGAAAGAACAATCTTGTAACCACTAAAGCAAAAAATAGTATCGCTCAGTATTCAGGAAGCCCAAATCACAGCATTCATTGTAAAATTGTTACACGTAAGCGGTTATCTTAAGGGTTTCAAGTCGTTTTAAATTTGAAAGGTTATTCAAGAGATAGGGTTGTCAAAGAATCAGTATTCCATGTGACTGAGTCAGATAAGAGGAAAGCGTTGATATTTCCGAATACAATCCAATTTCAAGAACGACGGCAGTGGGGATTGGAATCAAGGTTTTTCTCACCAAAACATAGCCTGATACCAGACCCCTGAGCTAATGGTAGCCTACGCCGTACAATAGCATCGTTGTTTTATTAACTCTTCAAGGACGAGGCAGACCCCCGATCGCCAGCACACCAAAGGCAATGATGTGGCACATTTCGAACCACCATACACGAATCAGAAACCTAATTTTCATGTTTTCAATATATGCATGTTGTTGCATGCCATTTGAAGTTTCAGATAAAGAAAACAAAATTGAGAAATATGTATGAATGTGGTTGCTGCAGTGCTTCAATATTGCAAGTCTTCAAGCGTTGTCGTATGCCCAGAATGCGCGTCCTCAGGGAGTTAATGGCTATTGACTACTCATCAGGCTCAAAATACAATGACATGTAAAGTGAAATACTGATTTTAGGGAAAAAACCATTTTATACTAATAAGCTGCAATAATAATTATCAGACTTCATGTTCATAATTAACTCTATCCAAAGTGGTAGGGGTACGGACTGTTCATTCAGTGGTGTAAAGAGTAAAAAGTAAAGTTGTTCCCGCATCCGATCCGGACATAAGGGGTTGTCTTGTTGGTGAAACAACTTCCTTGGCCTTCGACATATTGTTGTAGGGTGGCCAGTTCCTTTCCACGCCGCCTTTACTTCCCCAACTCGAAAGACAAGTACCCATCACTGCTGAGTGGGCAGGAGGGGGTGAAAAAAATCCCTGTCCGAACCGAGGCTCGAACCCGGATTTTCCGTTTCGGAGACAAGCGCACTAACCGCTCCGCCACCGCACCCTAGGTATAAAGAGTACACACACTGATAATATTATACTGGTGAAGACTGTGGTGCTTACAATGCGGGCCACTTTGTAACGTTAAAACCAGAGAAATAGTAATAGCCTTAGTTTATAATTCATGTATGTGCGTTCGTGAGTCAATTTGTGTTTGTGTGTATGTGACATTGTGAGTCTGTCGAATCTATAGATGCATACGTTGGTCTATGGCGTTTATTTATTTGCTTGTATGTGTAAGGTCTGAGGAGATTAAACAGAACTATTCTGTTTTATTCGTAAACAAAAGGGAATGATCAAGCTTTGGACCACGCATGGGCAAAGTTCTGCGGCCCGCGGGCAAGGACCTTACAACAAACTTACTCACATACTGTATAACCTCCTTGCCCGCGGCCCATATGTAGCTCTCGAGCAATTTCAGTCTGGCCCGCAATTTGACTCAGTAACCAATATTGAATGCAGTCCGTGGTGAGTTGACAATCAATCTAATACCGGGTGCCCACTACGGACGGGATCGGCCGACTCGATCGCCTGAAACTGAACACAAACACGTTTGTTTTTGAGGCGATCGAGTCGGGCGATCGGCCCGATCCAGCCGTAGTGGGCACCCCGTATAAAAAAACAAACGTGTTTGTGTTCAGTTTCAGGCGATCGAGTCTGGCGATCGGCCCGATCCAGCCGTAGTGGGCAGTGGGCACCCCGTATAAACAAAAATGTCTGTCTTGAAAATCAAAATTAATAGTTCCCGCCCCTGCTGGACTCAAAAGATATACAAAAATCTAGATCTAATACTGAATCTCATGAAATACCATTGGATGACATAATAATAATGATGCTATAAGTGTCCATTTTTGTCTCACTTTTAGGGTTTGGGTATTTCAATCAATTTCATCGCATTATTGTTTTCTCCTACTTTGGCCTGCGAGATATTAGGAATCGCTTGATACGGTCCATGACTTGCCCATGCCTGCAAAAGACAAAAGAATCCAATCAGTAGCCTGTTCACTTTCGGCTGTCCGCCGTTAATAAAATAAGATGCATGTAAATAAGGTTACAAATCGCTCTGTTCAATTTGCTCAGGTCTTTTGTATGCTGGTCTAAAAGTTGGATGACCAACAGAATCTTTAGAGCCTTTAATGTAGGTTCCGACATGTTTTGTTTGTTGTTGTTTTTTTAGTGGCTGAACGGTTGGCTCTCTATTTTTCCTAGACTCGTATGGAGACGTCTAGACAGTCTTGAGATGAAATCTGCATAACTGACATAATATGAGGGCAGGCTGGCGTTGCAGTTCTGAAATGAGCAATTTGTAGACCAGGTCAGTGTAAATCATAACTTATTGTTTGTACCCAAAGAGTGACGTTTTATGAGACCAAATAAAGAAACGTAGGCTAGATCTAGATCTAATTATTAGCCTCGGCCTATTGGATCAAGATTTAAACAAAAACAAAAAAAACAAGCATTTCGTTTGGTCGCTGGCTTACCTGGAGGCCATGCAAAATTACGTGCGCATTGCAAATTAGTGAATGTGCAAAAAATAAATAAAAATAATGATAACTAACCCAGCAAGACGACAGTGAACAAGCAAAATTAATAGGCTAGTTAAAGTTAAACCTGTTTTCACGTCCGATAGGCCTAGTCTTTATAATCGTATTTATAATCATTGATTCACGTCCGATAGGCCTAGTCAGAGGCCGTATTTATAATCATTGATTCACGTCCGATAGGCCTAGTCAGAGGATTATAATCATTGATTATAAATACGGTCTCTGACTAGGCCTATCGGACGTGAAAACATGTGTTAATCATTGGGTCTTTTAAAAGGGGAGAGAACAAGAAACACATTGTTTCCAAGTGCCAATTTTGAGTGAATAATGCCCCCTGAACATTATCACGTGACTCTTTTGTTTTCATTTTCATAGAGACTGGGGTCGCACACAGGTCGCGGTGTGTTGCAAATCCGAAAACGTTACGAAACTGCTAATAATACGGGATGTCTCACTGATAACTTATCGAAGAAACCAGAGCTGTTATTGGTACCTAATGCATGCGCAATGTTGATTTCCCAGTTGCCCTAAAGACCTCAGGAAGTCGTCAATGTCACAAGACATTAACATTTTTCGCGTTTATTTTTAGCTGCGACTTGATCAATATTAACAATTCAATAACAAACAATCGTCTGGACCTTAAGATCGACAGGTAGGTAAGGTTTAAAATGCTAAATCATATATCTAGATCTAGAATCTAGTACGTATGGTCTCTTCATCGTCTGAAAGAGTTCTGCTAGTGGTGCTGTTTTAGTTTTGGTTACGAAGTGGCTAGCCGTACTTAAGTACGGCTAGACTGAGAGTCTAGACTGCCAGTCTAGCCGTACTTAGATCTAGGTTTGGCCCAATCGACTAAAACCTGTTAAGTACACAGGTCTCATTAGATCTAGATCTAGATCTAGATCTAGATCTAGTAATTATTCAGGTTAAAATACATGAAAGTCAGTAAGGCACCTTTTGGTTTTGTCTGAAATACAAATACTTTTGGCATTGCAAACTAAAAATTTCATTTACAATTCAGCCATCAATATTAAGTACGGCTAGCCTGACAGTCTAGCCGTCCTTAAGTAAAAGAAGTCTAGCCGTACTTGAAGTCTAGCCGTACTTAAGTACGACTAGACTGCCAGTCTAGCCGTACTTATCTTAGGCCCTATTAACATTAGAAGAAAACAGGAGGTTTAAAATACATACACTGTCATTAAGGCACCTGGTTTCGTCTCAAATACAAATGCTTTAGGTACTGCACACTAAAAATGTATATTTACAATTCAGTAGGCCTATTTTTTGTAAATGGTCAGTCTAGCCATCATATTAAGAATAAGTACGGCTAGACTGCGAGTCTAGCCGTCATTAAGTACGGCTAGCCTCTTCCTTTTGGTTATGGCTTAAAATAAGTTTTTTGACAAGTGAGGACCGCCGAGGGGCAAATGCTATATATAATATAGATTCTAGATTTAGATCTAGTATCTAGATCTAGAGTTTGATACTGTAACTGGGGTACAGTAGTTAGATTCTAGGCCTAGATCTAGATCTAATATCTAAATCTAATCTAAATCTAGTACTAGACAGTCTATACTATATAGTGCTGTCAAAAATCTGTGGCGCAACTTATCCTCAAATATTTCTTTAACGGGTAAATCAATGTCATCCATACTTTGCACAACTGTTTGTATCAATTTATTTGTCTGAACTAAAATCTAAATCATATTGTTCCAGAGCAAACTTTTCTTCATAAATTTATATAAAATACTTGAAATCTCTGTCTCGTGTAAAATCATGGTATTGTTCACAGCACTTCCTGCTTCTCACACAGGTTTGGATTATAAACACATGGGCTATGTCACAGCTCATCAATGACAATTTTTACTTGTAAAAATTGTTACAGGAAATTATTTTTACGAAGTGACTATTTCTCCGAACGTTCGGGAAAATAAAGTTGAACTCTATTCTATTTCTCCGAACGGTTTCCGATCTGGAGATTTTTTGGGTTATTTGCGAGATTTAGGCGTCATCCTTTCATTCTGCCATTCTGCGAGGACTGGAAAGAAGCATTTTTCGCATCAAATTCAATTTCTAGAGCTAGAGATTTTTAAATGTCTGAATATTCAGATACTTCAGTTGTGGTTGGGGCAACGGTCCCGGACTATACTTCAATTGAAAGTACCTTCAAAAGGTACTGCGAGAAAACAAGACTGCTCAGCCTTGGCTAGTAACCTATTTTGCATTTAGTCACCCGGCAAAAACTAAAATCCCTCCTATAAAAAAAAAATCCCTCCACACCCCCCCACCCGTTCACACCTTACACCCACACAGACACACACACTCACACACACATTCACACACGCACACATACATACGCACACTCACACGGGCCTATCCATTCGCTTATTATCAACAAATCTCGAGAACGGAAACCGTTCAGAGAAATAGAGTTCAAGTTTATATTCCCGAATGTTTGGAGAAGTAGAGCAGGCCTTATTTTTAGAAAAACATGACCGACTTGCTAAGTAAAAAAGCAATATTGCCCCAGCTGTAACCCACATCCAAGTTGGTGGTTTACACAGGTTTTTAAATTTAAAAACCTGTGTAAACCACCAACTTGGATTTTTTATTTGTATTTATTATTGAATTTTCTAGAATACTGCTTGCAGGTGTTTACAAAAAATGTTGATATGTAAGACAAACTGATACAAGTCACTGTGCAAAAATTGGAGAGCGTTTGTTCAATGGTTGAGGAGATATTTGACAATAAGTCACCCCACGAATTTTTGACCGCACTTTAGATCTAGTTAAAATAGTATGTCGACATGTTTGTAAGACCATCACTGTCTTTTGATTCACATACGGGCCTCTCCATTCGCTTATTATCAACAAATCTCGAGAACGGAAACTGTTCAGAGAAAGAGAGTTCAAGTTTATTTTCCCGAACGTTCGGAGAAATAGAGCCGGCCTTATTTTTAGAAAAACATTAGTGACTTGCTATTAAAAGCATTGCCCCAGGTGTAAACATTTAAAAACCTGTATAGATCGCCTGCTTTGATTTTTTATTAGTATTTATTATTGAATTTTTTAGAATACAGCTTGCAGGTGTTTACAAAAATGTTGATATACATGTTAAGACAAACTGATACAAGTCAATGTGCAAAAATTGGAGAACCTATGTTCGATAGTTGGGGAGATATTTGATAAGTCGTGCCACGAATTTTTGACTGCACTATAGATCTAGTTAGTAGTATGTCAACATGTTTGTAAGACCATCACACAGTCACTTGATTCTCAGATTCACTGCCTCTTGATCTTGGCTGTCTTGGGCATTTCGCCTCATCTGCACAGACAGTTTATTCACATTTCAAATTTGCTAGATCCGGGTAATAAAGGAAAGGGTTAGATTAGGCTACCTTTTATGACATGCAGCTCTAAACGTAGAATGACACACCTGCCTGATTGGCGGCTAATTTTAGTAGTCTGATGTCATCACATCCTGGGATACCCACAGACTATTTTTAGAAGGCCGTGGAGATACCAAAGATCGTGTAGTAGAGAATCTTTGGAGATACCGCATGGAACAGCCTTTTGGGTCAGTGGCTTGACATATTTATCCGAATCGATGTGTTTCACACAGAAAAATTTCTCACTTGTGGCCTACTGCAGCCCATCAGGCATACTCTGCTTACTGGTTACAAGGTTTCTGGTATGTTAATAACTTTTCGGAATTCCGTTAGTGAATCATGATGCTTGAAATTGAAACATGGTAAACGCAGAAACAATAAAGCGCACGAAAATTGCCGTAAAAACGCCGGAAGATTAACCCCCTCCCCCGAGCACAATAAACAATGCTCAGAAGAGATAAGCAGCAGCATCATCGGAGCACCGCATCATATGACATTACCGGTATTCCTGGAAAAACATCGCATCCAGCGTCATGCCATCAAAGATTAGATTCTCTACACGATCTTTGGTGCCATGCGGTTGGCTATATTTAGATGTAGTCCCGTGATCGGAGGGGTATCCGGGTCTAACGTCGCACGAGATGGCCGCCTTTCCTAAAAATAGTTAGCGTCGTTCTACGTTTAGTCGCATCCTTTTATGGAAGTGGCTACAGTAGAACATGGCTATAGCAAGACATTTGTGGCACGACACTGTGGAATCATGCTCTGGTCAGTTTTTGGGCATATGGAGTTGATGGTATCATCTTAAGGCCTGTCCATTTTCCTTGTTTTGGGTGAAAATATTATCCATCTATGTTGAATAGAAGTAGAGATACGTGTGATTGAAGGAGGTGAGGGTCATCTGGTTTCAGAGATGAAATTAGCGAGAAAATGGCCGCCAAAGTTGAGTTATTTCCTTAGCTTGAGAGTCCGTGGAAACTGAAAATTTACATTTCTTCTGCCTTTAATCAACGTTTTTCAATAAAATCCACTCAGAAATGTGCTCTTTGAAAGGCCTGAAAGTGTTGAACCAAAAAACAAAAATTTGAAAAAAATTCCCAAATCTGCGGGAAAATGCTTATTCCTTGGCTTTCATTATTTTGTCAAGTGCCTGGTTTCACCAGGCTGCCTCACATTTGGTTCCAGAAGAAAAATCACGCTGTAGGCAAGTTTCGGCAATAGGAATGCAAAGGGGAAAGTACCAAAAAATTTCTAAAAATCTACATGATCACCTCCCTCCCATATCAATAAAATTTACGCTTTAGGTTAGTCTTCCTTTTCTTGTCAACTTTGTTGATTATCTCAGCCTTTTATTCGAGTGAGAAGCATTTCCTTTTGTCTTTATGGGAAGCCATCTTTTCCTCGGTCTTGTTGCTTGTACTGTCTATCGTACCGGTAGGCCTACTGTAGAACTGGTGAAGTGGATATGTGTGTAGTCCTATTAGCATATATGGTAATTCAATGAATCAGGAATCACAAACTACTCGCTCTCGTTTTCTTGTACTTTTTGGCTCAGCCTAGGCGTAGGGTTATGGCCTATACACTCTCATACCGAGCATCTAAGCTACGGCACATCACTTTTGGAGTGTCTCACGTACGCTGTTCTCCGCACCATCTCTCTCTCTGATGCCTGCCCCACCTCACTCATCACTGGACTGGCCAATCTTAACGCTGCACGGCTGACTGCCTGTTTGGAGCCCACCTACAGTCCCCCAACCCCCTTCCCCCCAGCAAGAAGTCGCTCAATTTCTCCTGCTGTATCAGATTTCGTTCCTTTCCTTGCCCTGCTCAACCCGAGCACAGGTAATTGAGTTACCATAGGAAAAAAAGGGGGTGGGGGGTTCCCGGTAAGGTCCCGCTGTAGGGATGGTCGCGCTGTAGCGGGTGCCCCGTTATAGTCATGCTACTGTATACTCACCCTGGGTGAGAATAAGAATACGATCGACCTCTCACCGCGGCTGAGACTTGCCAGCGCTGGCTATTTTCACCCAGTGTGGAACAAGACCTGTTTTTTTCTAATTTCTGAATACTGTCTATCAGTGTGGATGATGAAATTGACAAAAACAAAGAAAAAAATGGTGTTAAAGCACCAGAGTAAACTAATTTGGTCATCTACAGAAATGCTAGGGCTGTTTCACTTTTCGAATCGAGTCAAACTACACCGGTCGTCATTTTGTTTTGCCCAGAGGTTCTCGCTACTCCTCTCTCTCTCTCTCTCTCTCTCTCTCTCTCTCTCTCTCTCTCTCTCTCTTTCTCTCTCTCTCTTTCTTTCTGCCCGCAGACAAACTTGTATGCTTTCAACACAAGAGCGCTGGAACGTTTGTTTACACTGGTATCAAGGTGAACGCACACCGAGTGAGAATAGCCAAAATTTTAAGGCTCGCCCTCTCACCCAGATTGAGAGGCCTACAACTGTGCTATTCTCACCCTGAGTGAGAATAGAGGTGGCTTTGCCTTAAACCCTAGCCGTGCTTACCTTTTATCCTAACCTTTACCTCATTACCATTACTGGGATCCAGCAAATGTGAATAAAAATAAAAGGTGCGGATAGAAGAGTGCTGCCTCTTGCTCTAGACTAGTCTCAGGGAAACGGGTTTCAAACTCAAGGCCTGTTGGCTACATCTGGCTCGCCAATTATATCCAGCACGGAAGATTTTTGGGTAGTCCATGCTGAGAGTGAAAATCTTGGCCATTTACTGAGAACTTTACTCCAAACCTAACGAACTTGTTGCTAAGAAAAGATTCTAAACAACCAGCTCTGAAAAATTGGCATACGAGTGAAAATTGGTGTACCTTAATTTGTTATTATATTTATACTTTTTTGCGGTTTTAATTCATCTCATCTTTGTTTAAAATAGGTTCACCAGTTTTCTACTACTCAACGAGTGTTTACCCAGTTCAGCTAGAAACTTAAAGTATTAAGTGTAATTTAAGTTTGGCCCCCTGAGTGATTGATTAATTCATTGATTTGGAAATGCCTGCTTCAGGGGTGCAGGCTGACCACTAGCCTTAGATAAACCTGTTGTGAGACTGGACATCATGGGAAGGTAGGGGAACACCAAACACAGTTCCATACAAACCAGGAGAACACTTTTTTTTTCACCCTGACCTAGAGCAGAATAGAGTGTCATTGTAGACGATATTGAAACTTGAGGAAAGAAGACCGAAAAGATCAGTCTGTTGTAATTTTGACCAGTCCTCTCTTTCCCTGTGTTTTGTGAATTGAATCTTTGATTTTCACTTGTTTATATATGTTGTACATGTAGTAGATACTTGAAGAAATATTTTAATACAGTCGAATCTGCCATGACGGCCACCTGTATGATATGGCCACTTTCCATTCCCCCCCCTGCGTTTTTTCTGTATAATTTAACTGTGTAAAACAGGCACCTGTCCAACGCGGCCGCTGACACCGTATTTTATCAACCCACATTCAAATTCACCTGTCTGATATGGCCAGGCTTTGTAAAAAATTATGCGTTTTCCCCTGACGCTGTGGACGAACTGTCATAATTTATTCACTGGTTGTTATTGTCAGTCCGTCCAATGGATGAAACAGTCATGCTGCTTAGGCCGCTCCCAATGTTTACGTGGGTGGTTAGCGGGTGCTCTGGTGTGATTTGCTCCTTCTTTCCTATCAAACATCTATCGTCCTCATCTCCCCTTCTTCTTTTTTATGTTTGTAACTCTCTTGTAACACCTCTAATCTTCTGGCGCTCATATGACCTTATCAGTTGTGAGCGCAGTAAAACGTCTACTAAAACTAAAACCTATGTTTACCCAAGTTGACCAATGATAACAATAAATTTTCAGCTGACAGTAAGGGAAGCGTGTGATCCTTCATAACCTATAAAAGGCCCTGCCCACAAATCAGTCCATAATTATGGAAGTCAACACAAACTTGCGACAGAAGTTTCACTCATTCACCGATTGATGGCGACCCATTTGTTTGTTTCACAATGGCACTTGGCCTTCTACGTCTGACACATTTAGTTTTGTTTTGACATTTCACGGACCCATGATTTATTAAAGAATAAAACTAAATACAAAAAATCACCCAAAAACCGTCATATCCTCTCCCCCTTTCCAAAACAAAAACAAAACAAAACAAAAACAGAACAGAAAACAATTTAAAAACGAAACAATTTAATTAACCCTATGACAATTGCAAGCCTGCGGCCGCCTCCAGTTGGGACCTCTGAAGTAAATGGTTTGTTTTCTTCATTTTGATCAGTTCTGCATATGATGGCCACCTGTCTTATGCGGCCACTTTTCTCTTCAACAATGCGTGGCTGTCTTACACAGGTTCGACTGTACTTGTATTACCAGCAGCTACTAGTTGGTAATTTAAAAAACATTATTGTACTGTCATCTCATTTCATAGAACATTGGATTAAGTGCAACCTGGGATTCTTCAAAAGGAGAGTAGGTGCCCTTTTGAGACTTTAATCAAAATCAATGATACACTGTGTTTCATATGAATCCTTTCACGAATTAAACTTCGACCTAGTGAAACAGCTTGTCGTGCAGCCTTACCCTACTGATGTATCATTGCATTACTTTTCTTCCACAGCTTATCTAAACTACACAATCAACGATCAACCTACATCAGGTAGATTGTTGCGGGTGTATTGCCATTATATTTATTTATTTATTTATTTATTCTGTGATGACCTGTCAGAGACACGTTTTCATGTTATGTGACAAATGGAGGTCTTTTCACAGACACAACAAATGCATGTGTTCTAGATACATGCCATTGTATTTGGGTCCGGTCAGGTTGGGTGGGCTGTCAACACTGTGAATGTATGTGCATGTGGGTATATATGTGTAACACTTTGTGAATGTGTGTGTGTTTGTGTGTCTGAATCATGTGTTTGGGTCAGGTGGGGATGTTGTGAATACAAAAATGCCACCAAAATAAATTTCACATTTTTAATAGAATATTGTATATTTTGTCATAACAAGAGGAATGGAGGTAATGTGTCGTGGGCTGGCAGATGGTGTCAGATATCAGGCTTTTTAGACTGGCCCTTTCTGTATAGTTCCAGTAGGGCTAAACATTTTCTGAGATGTTGCCTTCTTCAAGATTTGTGGGTTTTGCGGAGTGAACATGCCTTTAAACGATTAAATTGTATAGAGAGAAACGACCATATTACAAAAGTGCATTTGTCAAGTGAATGCTTTAATACACTGCTTGCACAAAAGAAGACTACTGGACGACCTGTTCAAATCTTAATTAGTGTCAGCTGTCATCTTGGCTAGTCGTACACATTGGTTATAAATGGCATCAAGATAAGTTGAGAAAAAAAAATGCCCCCTGTTTAAAACCGAACCATAGTCCATTAGGGTAATTGAAAAGGTGTCAAAAGATAAACAGCTATTTGTGGGTAGTTGGCTGGTGCTCTGGTTTGGTTTGCTTCTTCTTTCTCCTATCCTATCAAACGTCTATCGTCCTGATCTCCCCTTCTTCTTTTTTATGTTTGTTACTCTGTTGTAACACCTCTAATCTACTGGCGCTCATATGACCTTATGCAGTTTCGAGCGTTGTAAAACCTCTACTAAAACTTTTTTTTAACAGCTATTTGTCATTGACACAGCATCATTTATTGATTCTTGAGGGATTTAAGACAGACACCCCTCAATCATTCTCAGTCTAAAATGCACACATGTTTGTTAGACACTGCTTCCTCCAAACAGAGTCAGGGGATGTGAAGGTCAGACCAAATGAGCTGGTCGGTTTACTTCAAATTTGTTTTTCACTTTCATTTCAGGTCTCTACAGGGAAGATTTTCTCAGTTACAAAAGACTACTACAACACAACAGTCATGGATTGTCTCCCTATTGAGGTAAGATTCAGCCTGCTTTCTCTATCTGTAGAATATATTTATATCTCATGGTACATGCCATGCATGTATTTGGATTACAGGCAATCTATAGGCAAGGAAATGGAGAAGAGCCAAACATTATGCTTGACATAAAGTTCTAGTTACACTTACGATTGATTTCTGCTTGTGAATTGCCCAGGTGTTCTACTTCAGACCAGTTATCGACATTCTAACATTTTTGTTTATTTTGTTTCGTGCAACAAAGGCAAGTTTCCTCCCATTATATGTGTGTTTGTGTGTGTGTGAGTTTGTATGTGTGTGTTTGTGTGTGTGTGTGTGCGCGCGCGAGCACGCTTGTGCTTGTGAGTCATTGTTATTTTGTTTTTGTTCTAGTCTTTTTCTGCTTTTCCTTCTCCTCTTCCTCCTCTTTTTCTTCTTCTTATCCCCTAGCACAGTTCATCTACAGATTATACAATGTTACAGTCGGATTTTAATTTGATAGGCAAGTCATCATGGCACTGTGCGTTTGCAGAGAAAAAAACACTGCTCTCTTAATAAATACATTCATCAAATGGCTTGAACTTAAATACTCATCAACAGACTCAGCTGGCTCATTGCCACGATATTGTCTACCACAACAAAACAGACAAGGTGACTGATGGTAACAACATTGGGGTAGAGATTAGATAACATCTCTAAAATTATAAAAAGTATCTTACGTGTACACGAGAACAGGATGTTGTGATAACAGACTCAGCTTTTGGAGTTTTCATTGTTTTTCATGTTTGTTTACCTCCACGTCAGTTATGATTTGGTTTACCAGATTTTCCATACCGGTACTACATTTGTATTTGTTTAATATGGGGTTTACGGCCCCAGCAGCCGTAAATAGAGGGGGACAGCGGGTGCTCTGGTGTGGTTTGCTCCTTCTCTTCAAACATCTATCGCCCTTATCCCTCCTTTTTTTTGTGTTTACTCTCTCGTAACACCTCTAATCTTCCGCACTTCTTTGACCTCGTTGTGTTGCAAGTTGCGTAAAACTCTTACTAAGGTGGGTGGTTGGCGGGTGCTCTGGTGTGGTTTGCTTCTTCTTTCCTATCAAACATGATCTACCGTCCTTATCTCCCCTTCTTCTTTTTTTTGTTTGTTACTCTCTTGTAACACCTCTAATCTTCTGGCGCTCATATGACATTATGCAGTTGTGAGCGCCGAAAAACCTCTACTAAAAAAAATAAATAACACTAAAAAAAAAAAGGTTGGGGGAGGGGGTGTTCAAGATGGCCCCACCCTCTTCTTGTTGTAGACAGCTGAACGAAAAGCGTAGCACATCATGTGTGTAGCAGCAAAGTACAGAGATTAGATGACAGTCCTATATTCAATAGAGGAAGTGGTGTGTGGATGGGCCTCCTCCAGATCAGATTGGGTGGTTTTGTCCTCCCGCTGGTAGGGCACCGAAGTATTAAAGTCCCCGGTTCGTTCAGAGTCTTGTAGCATGACAGCTATGGATTTGAATGATAGGAGTAATACCCCCCCCCCCCCCCCCCCCACACACACACACACAAAGCAACGGAATGATCATGCATAACTAGATTTCGTTGAACTTAAATAGTGAGTCGCAGTGTCCTTGGTGTTTGGAGAACAGAAGTTCCATCCCTTCATTTAGAAGATATTTTAGTCCTTGTTTTAGTAAGTGTTTTACTGCACCTGCAACACAATAAGGTTATATAAGTGCCGAAGATTAGAGGTGTTACAGGAGAGTAACAACGAACACGAAAAAGAAGGAGGGCAGATAAAGGTGATAGATGTTTGATAGATGATAGAAAGAGGAAGCAAACCGCACCAGAGCACACGCCAACCACCCACTATTTTAGTCCGTTTGTATTTTCTACTGTTTGTTCTGATCGGCCAGGTAGAAGCAGCCCACTTTTTAGCCTTCTTCCTTCCTTTTCTTCTCCTTCTCTTGTTCTCTTGCTCTTGCTCTTGTCTTTTTATCGTCTTCTTATTCTCCCCCTTCTTCCATCTCCTCTTCCTCCTCCTCCTCCCCCTCCTCCTCCTCCTCCTCCTTCTGCTCCTCCTTTTTTTGCTCCTCCTCCTCCCCCTCCTCCTCCTCCTTCTGCTCCTCCTTCTTTTGCTCCTCCTCCTCCTCCTACCCCTCCCCTTTTTTTCTGCTTTTTGTTCTTTCATTTCGTTTCCTTCACCCTCCATCATCATCATCATCAGAGAATAAAAATAAATTACATGGTTATTCTCCTCCTTTTCTCCCACCTCCCCAATCCCCTCGTCGTCGTCGTCACCCCCTCCCCCTCCCCTCTTTACATCTTCTTCTCCTGTTTCTCCTTCTTCTTCTTCCTACGGTAGTCCTACCCTATCAAGTGTCCTGGTTCTTATCTCTGTACACAACTAGTTCTCCACCCGGTCGTATGGCTTGCCGCATTGTGTAATGGTTCAACAAGTCAAAACCCCGCTGCATATCTCATCTGATGGACGGGTTTTCCCTTTAGTAGGGAGTGTTTCATAGTCACCACCGTGCTTGTGCATCGTAATATCGAGAGTGGGAGGTTGGCGGGAGCTCTGGTGTGGTTTGCACCCTCTTTCCTATCAAACATCTGTCGTCTTTATCTCCCCTCCTTCTTTTTTGTGTTTGTTACTCTCTTGTAACACCTCTAATCTTCGGTACTTATAATACTTACATGACCTTATTGTGTTGCAAGTGCTGTAAAACTCTTACTTACTAAGACAGTATCGAGTTGGGAGAGCGTGGGTCGTGTAAAGTGCCTTTCCCAAGGACACAACGTCGGGCCCCTGGCGGGATTCGAACCCACGACCTTACGGTTGCGAGTCTGAAAGCCTAACCACAAGGCCACCGACGCCACGTTTTTAAAAAAATGTTTGTTACTCTTGTAGCACCTCTAATCTTCAGCACTTTTATGACCGTATCGTGTTGCAAATGCCATGAAACTCTTAAACGACAAAGCAAGCCAGATAACCATTATGAGCCCACAAGCCGTAATTTGCGTGATCGTCCAAATCGTGTCAAAGAGACTGTAAAACGTGAGCTGCCATCAAAGTCCGTTATAATGTCATTCTCGCTGCTTTGCCCTCTCACTTGTAACGCAACAGAATACATGTATAGCAATGCAACAGAACAGTCTCAGCATTCTTCAATATTACAATCTCTGTTATCATCACCGATATCTTGACCCGACCTTTCAAAGTCCGATTTGCGTTGTGCTGAGAAACTGTCTTTGCTATATATACTTTGAACCCGGTAGGAGGGGGGGGGGGGTGTGGGTGTGCGTGTGTGAGAGAGAGAGAGAGAGAGAGAGAGAGAGAGAGAGAGAGAGAGAGAGAGTGTGTGTGTGTGTGTGGGGGGGGGGGGGGTGTGCTAGCCAAAAGTGAGATTTACTAAAGTTCTCACAACAAAAAAGCGTCTGTGTTACGAAGACCCCTACAATATTTTTAATTGTTTAACAACTCCATATGATTCATAGGCTATTAACTGATGATGACAAAAAAAGCTAAGATCTTGTGCAGGACTACATTCTTGACAGATTCTTGTTTTTGGTGAGAAAATTACTTGGTTTCGTACCATAGTCTTAACAAGAGGCATACACCACCAGCCCCCCCCCCCCCCCCCCCGTTAATTGCCCTACCCCACAAAGTCGGCTGTCATGCCCTTTCAAAAGTACCGTAAGTGTGCGGGTCTGAGGCTATTCTTACAGCGCATCGTGAATTTCTGTTTGTTGAAACGTATGACGTGCCCTAGGGACCGATTGTGTGAAGTTACAATTAAGGAGGAGGGGGGGGGTTAGTAGATTGTCATGTAGTTGTGTGTGCCCATAAATATAACCACTACTCTCTATGTGTGCCCTCTACTGTGCCGGATCTGTATAGTCAAACATGCTGTCTCACTGTCCCATGTCTTAGTGCGTGCGTGTGATGTCATCCTGTGAAGTGAAGTGTGCTGCTGGGTGCTATCTGGGAAACTGGGTCTGAGGTCAGGAAGTGTATAGAGACTCTCTTACGTGTTTCCTGCACATGATCAAACCAAACAGTTGCTAGCTGTCCTGGGCTGTGCTAGGTGCTAGGGGCTGCCCGCAGCTCTATCCTTCTGTTACCGTAATAGATCTCTATATATCTCTGTGGAGATTGTCTCCGGCCGAAAGTATGGAGGTTCTACATGATGAGGTATTTTGTGACTCGTTTTAGAGTATCTCCGGTATAAGACTAGACAATCGTTGTCATATGGTGACACTCGTATTATGCCTGCCTGACTGCCTGCCATCCTGCCTGCCATCCTGCCTGCCTGCCTACCTACCTACCTGCCTGCCTACCTACCTGCCTGCCTGCTTGCCTTCCTGTCTGTCTGTCTGACTATCTACCTGTGTGTGTGTGTGTGTGTGTGTGTGTGTGTGTGTGTGTGTGTGTGTGTGTGTGTGTGTGTGTGTGTATTTAATATTAATAAATGAATATATACATTAAAATGTGTGTATACATATTATATAGATAGATAAATGTTATACATGTATATAGATAAATAATGGATAGAATTATATATTAGGGCCTTAATAAAATAATATGTCTGTGTGTGTGCACTCGCGCAATGTTCACTTCCTTGTTGTCACATCCAAAAGTAAACAACATGTAAATATGTATTACTTATTGAAAAGGACTGCTCAAAGGGGTTTGAGATGTGTGATGGCATCGCTCTTTTTCTTTTCATCAAAAGTGGAAAACGTAATTTCCAAGGAGGAAAAATATCTTGTTGAATATCTCTCTGTCTTTCTGGTAGGATGTATCTCACTCAGGCTGAGTTTCCCCTGACTGGTAGAATCAATGCAGCCCATGTCTTTAATTGTGTAGACTGTGTCCATGAAGCTGTAGTACATTTACAGCACATGCTATTTTATTGGAATGATATAATGCTTCCTTGAAGAGATAATAAAATATCCCCCCCCCCCCCTTTTTTTTAAAAAGTTTTTGGGTGGCACTCTGTTGTGGTGTTTGCTCTTTCTTTCCCGTCAAACATCTATCGTCCCTATCTTTCCTCCTTTTCTGTATATGTTTCGTTCTAGTAAAACCTCTAATCTTCGCAACTGATATGACCTATTTGTGTTGCAAGTACTGTAAAACTTTTACTAAAACTAACCACCCTTGTTTTCTGTCTGTGTTTTGTAGGTGGTGAGTCACATCCTGCAGTTTCTGAGTGTGTCGGACAGGAAGGAAGCTGCTCTGGTGTCCAGGAAGTGGTACAATGCGTCTCTTCACCCACAGCTGCAGAAGGATGTCATTGTCAAGTGCCAGCCGCCAAACCAGAACTGCTTGCCGCCAACTGGACTGGTGCAGAGGAAGCTGACCCATTTGGCACTCGGTGATTGGGAGACAAACGCCATGACAGAAGAGCAGCTGGTAGACCTGCTGAGTCAGTGCCCGAACCTGGTGGAGCTAGACATCTCTCGCTGCAATGCCCTCTTTCTGTCAGGGAAGCTGTTAGAGAGCGAGAAGGACAGAAATTATTTGCGCGAAGTGCTCTCTAATGTGAGGGAGCTGAAGTTAGGATGTTTGAGACACATGACGGACGTCACATTCCTCAGACTTGTGTACACCATGGAGAACCTGGAGAAAATATCGCTAACATCTGCCAACATGATCTTTGGCAGCGGCATGTATGATGTCAATGGTTCCAGCAGCGCTATGCTCAACTTTTCCACATTTCTGAAATATGTGAAGGAAAAGGCTTCGCAGCTGAAGAAAATTGACTTGAGTCGTACTTCAGTTCATGACAAGGCTCTGGCTGCATTGGCCCGAACAGACGGGTTGCTGCTGGATGAGCTGGTGCTTCAGAGCTGTGTGGAGTTGTCTGATAAAGGGATCAAGACTCTGGTGACCCACCAACGCAGCTTGCAGTTACTGGACCTCAGTGGGTGTAAAGAACTTGGTGCAAGCAAAGCTTTCTTTGCCAACTTCACAAATCTTCCAAAACTGCACTCTCTCATCCTGAGGAAATGTCCCAAAGTGGGCCAGTGCGACATCCACTCATTGGTGGACATCAGCTCTCTGAGGAACGTGGACATGGGAGAGGCTCTGAACCTGTTTGACAAAGACCTCATCAAGGGTTTGTGTGGGCCGAGTCAGAAGCTTAGGTCTGTGTCTTTGCCATTCTGCCCGGACCTTAATGATATGTTTGTGGTCAGTCTGTGTGAAAGTAACCCAAACCTCACGCACCTGGACTTGAGCTCGTGCCTCAAGTTGACCGACTCAAGCCTGCATGCCATCACCAGAAACCTCACTTCCCTGCGCAGTCTGCGGCTGGCCTACTGCCGCGGGATATCCGACCTTGGCATGCTCGGGTATGTTCCTGAACACGGGCTTGCCTTGCACCACGTGTTTGACCATGACCACGAAGGTTGCCCGTGTACAAGAGAGCGGGAGAGCAAGATTTTCCGCAAACCCACGGGGATCATCGAACAACACAATCACTGCATTTCAAAGGCACACACAAAAGTTGAGAACGGGGAGGAGCTGCACATGCTGTCAAATTTGACCTCTCTCCAGATCCTGGACCTCTCCTACTGCCCTCGGATCACAGACTTCAGCATAGCCCGAGCTGTCAACTTCAGGGAGCTGCGATCTCTGTCCCTGAACAGCTTGCCCAAAATGTCTGACGCGGCGATGAAGACGGTGGCGCAACAAAACCCGAGCCTGGAGACGGTGAGTGTGAGGAGCAACGCCAGCATCACAGATGTCTCGGTGCTGGAGCTGGTCTCCAAGTGTCCACGCCTGGCCAGTCTGGATGTCAGTCAGTGTGACGGTCTCACTGACAAGTGTCTAGACTCTCTCATCACCAAAGCCAAACGTCTAAGGCACCTGGACATTTCATTTTGTGGGAACATAAGTCAGGAAAAAGTAGCTGTCCTTGAGCAGCGACTTCCTAATGTTAAAGTCATATTCAGACCATATGTTTACTAATAAAGAAAAATTGTCCAGAATTGGGTTTTTTAATGTCAGTGTACCTATCCTACTTATTGTGATCACACTTTCCTTTTTGAGCTTTAAGTGCTTTCAATAGACAATAGACTTTTATATTATGATAGTTTATTGCTGCTTACTTGTAATATATGTTTAATAGAAGAATTGAACAATGTCTCAACCTACTGTACCATAATATTTACTACTATTGTGACTATATGGGCAGTTAATGCCTTCTTCGGATTGTAGCAGGAGCAGCACTGTCCTGTGCAGTAGTAGACTATGCTGTGAAAGTTAGTGTAATTGTTTATGAGCAAGGACACTTTTTTCAAACCATTCTGTCATGATTCATGCTCTGAACACTGTGATAACTGAGCTTGATTGTTTCCACAAAATGTGTGTAGTAATTTCTGTGATAACATTTATGCTGTGTGCCTTTCATGGCACAGAGAACGTTTTCTTTCTCTCAAGTCCTTTTTTATTAATAGAGATAAATGTATGTGTCTCAAGGGGGAGTGATGTATTTGACTTGTAAGTATCAGTTGAGCCTAGGATCTTGAATTCATGTTGAATATGAAAGGATTTTTTTAGCTTCTTGAACTTTATCGAGGTGAAAGTAAGGAATGAATCATCTGAATCTGAATATAGATCTTCTGTGGCAGACCTGACCTGTTAAAACCATTGCTATTAGTTGAGAGAGAGAGGGAGAGAGAGAGAGAGAGAGAGAGAGAGAGAGATAGAGAGAGAGAGAGAGGGAGATAGAGAGAGAGAGATAGAGAGAGAGAGAGAGATAGAGAGAGAGAGATAGAGAGAGAGAGAGTATGTGTTTGAGTGTATAGGCTTGTGCGTGTGTTAGTGTGTAAGTTAAAAATGTAATCCTCAGGTAAACAAGCATCCAAATATCCTGAGGTACCAGTGACCTGTCTTGTTGAAATATAAAACTGCACTGTGCATGGTGAAGAAGGGCAGAAAGCACAACAATATAAATTCTCATGTATACTTTTATCCTCATTTGAGCTCTTGCTTTGTTTGTTACTTCTATTGTTTTGCCAATTTTTTTTTTTATCATTTAAAAAAATTGGACTAAAAAAGGAGGGGGGGAGAGAATTTTTGTTTTATAAGTTACTTTGCCATTGACTGTGGAGTATACAATGTGATAAACAGTGGAAATAAACAGATTTTTATCAGTACAAATTTGATTTGTGCTTTTAATTGGTTTCGCAAACTTGGATAAGATTAAATTATTTGTATGGACCAGGTTTTTATTGTTTTTATAGTGATGACGATTCAGCAAACAACAGGCTTTTACCTTTCTGACCAATGTCCTATATTGAAAAATGCAGAGGAAATCTGTGCAATAGAATAAGGAAAAATTTTCTGTACGTGCTGAATTCACCGACAAATTGTTGTGGTCTTGTCCTCATACTGTCTTGCCCAGTCCAGCCTGCCCTGTTCTATGTGTTGGATTAAATGGCAACAAGATACTGAAAAACGCTGTTTTGTTTAGAGGAACCAGTGCAATGTCTTTTTATGTGATGACTAAAAAGGAAACTCATTACAACAGAGTCTGTTATTCCGAAATCTGCTGGACCACCAGATTTTCTTCAGTTTAGCAAGGTTTTCTGTTTAAAGAGGTTGCTCAAAGAGAAGGAAAAAAAGTGGGGATTTTATTTTCTTTTGATTTACTGCTGTTTTTGGATTCCATGTTCGGTTTAAGCGGACTCCACTGTATATATAGGCCTACATCTTGTGTGGGGTTAACATTTTTTTAACAGCTTTAGTTTCATAAGTTAAAAGGAGAAAGGCCTTTGAAGCTGCTATGTCGATAGATTTGGAAAAGCCTGTTAAATTTGGTATTTTCTCAACCGTAGAGGAGAAAATGTTTGCTGCTATAAACTTACTGTGGTGAAACAGTTGCTGCTGTTTTACCAACTTGCAGAACAGTTAACTCCTTTTCAACATCGTGTCGCACAGAAGTGTGTAAAACAAACGTTTATTTTGTGTGACAGGTTTATATTTATTTTAGCTTTGGTCTGAGAATGCTTGTATAGTAAAGAAAGCACTACTTTAACTCATGTTATGGAGACAATGTTGGGCTTGAATATAATCCTTTCGGATGGGGTATGGATTTACTTTGGTATTTTTATTTTTTTATTTTCAATAATTAGATGCTGTGACTCAATCATAACAATTTGTCCTAAGAAGATTGGTGAAGCGCAAAAGTGAATAAAACGTTTTTTAAAGAGCAGAGCTTTCCAAGCATCTTCACAGAAAGCTGTTATGAACCACACTTCATCGTCATACTAATTATACCAAAGGCACTTCTCCTTCTATTTCAAAAGTAAATAAAACAACAGTCAACACCTGTCATGCTTCTCAATCTTTATTTAATGTTATAATAACCAGTAAGAAGAGTGTCTTTGGTCAGTAGGTCAAACGGGATATTGTACACTTAAAGCGAAGAACAAAGTGCAAACACAACAGTTTTGTACAATATATCACAGTCAATCTTGTGCTCTTTGGCATCAGTAGCCACACAGTCATGTTTTGCGTTCAGTTCTCAAGAGCAGCTTTTCTAAAGCCAGCTATCTGCAATCCTAGGATTGTTAACTGGAGTCTGTGGAGTTACTGTTTGGCTCCTCCATTTGCACTCAAAACGCATTCATTTAATTCCTATCAGTGGAAAAGTATTTTATTGGACGTCTTCATTTTTCTGCAGCAATATCCCAGAAGCCAGGGTACAAGTTAGCCATGACAGGTAGAATGGAAGCAGCCTATTTCCTGAATGATTTGAATTTAAATTCTGCCATTTTCCTTGTGACATGACTAAATGGGAGGGGATAGATAGAATAAATGTTGGAAAATGAAAATGTGCAAGGAACAATTTTTTTTTAAACATCCGGCTTCAAACCAGGGAACAATTTTCTTGAAAGTTGTTGTTTCCCGTTGTATTAAAAAGAGAGAAAGAGATTCTTCTGAGTATTTGAGAGAAGAAAACTAGCTTTATTCAACCCCATTAAAAGCTTACTGTCTACTATACAAGGAATTGATCATAGGCCTAAGGAGGAGAAACATGAAATGTATAATGTACTTCTGTCTTGCTGATGAGTTTGCTTTATAATAACCCATTCATACCAGGTTGGCCCTGACAGGAAATTATCTATGACAGTTGAAATTATCTAAGAACGCCACCCATTGTCGAGGAGAGACCTGGTTGACTTACACAGGTGGATGGCTTACACAGTGTCATTGTTATAATGTAAAAAATACACAGGCGGAGGAAATGGGGAATGGCCGTTTGTACAGGTGATTGTCTTATACAGGTGGCCATTGGAGCAAGTTTGACTGTATGTTGACCGGAGCTCTAAACATTTACAATCATTACAATTACTATTTAACCGAAGAAGAAAAAACATTAAGGCTCAGTAATAACCCCACCAAGCCTGTGAGTTTGAGCCAACATTTGCTAGAGGAGTATTTTTATTGTATTTTCAAAACCAATTGCATCTTTGTGTCAAATATTTAAGCTTTTGAAGCATTACTTTATCAAATGAGGTGCGGGGATTTTCAGTTTTGCCCCAAACATCAGGTTTATACACATATAAAAACCTTGTGCTGGAAGCTCTCTGGACTTAAATTGTTCACAAGCCCATATTTTTTAAGTAGCACAGGCTTTGTAGAAAAGCAATTTAACTTTTTATTGGTTTGAATAATCCAGTTCTTAATAACAAACAGAAGCCCTCTGATACCAGCCACTTCGCAGTAGAAAACGGCAATGTACTGACTTCCAGTTTATGAAGAAGACATCAGAAAAAAGATGTCAGTCAACTGTCTCATTCTTGAGAACTGAGGTAGGCTGGGTAAAAGATGAGCCACAGGGTAAATAATGCAATTCCGGTACATGTGTAACAATGGATATCAAATTTTTTTTTTTTTTTAAACAGACATTGATTCAAAACCTGAGCTTGACCAATTTGAAAAAAAAAGAAGTATCCCTGTACAAACAACAATCACAGGAATCATCCAAACCTTCAAAAATTATCTACAGTGCTGATTCATTTGCAAGTCAGTGAAACTGTTTGAAATCTTGACAACAAGCATGATGAAAACAAAGACAAGTATGTGCAGCTATCTTGTGCGCATCCATAACTAAGATAAATTATACCTTGAAGTGTTTTGATTTAAGGAAATTCGTCCAATGCCTCAATATTTCTTACAGGAAAATGTCAAACACAATATATATATATATAAATAGAAATAAAATACATAAATCGTCATGTAAATGGCGGGATTCCACCCTAGTAATACTTCGATAAGGAACATTTGTACCTAAAGGAACAGCACTCAAGAGACCGTCGGTACTAAAGCTTGTCATGTGATCTGAAGAGAAACAACAGGCAGTCCAGTTCATCAAGGAACTGTTTCGTACAATCTGAAACATTTTTCAGACAGCCTCTTTTTACTTACATTTATTCCATCTTGGCCTTTTCATGTTGGTCCACATCTAACAGCATTAAATCATTTTTTCTTGTTGTTGTTAGAATATATACCAATTGAGTGGATTTTTGTGGGAACCAACTTTAAAAAGCTGAGCAAAAAAGTTTTCAATACTGAAGTTTTATCTAAAGTGAGAAAATGAAAACACTTAACCTTCTTCAACAGCCTGAATTAAGGAAATTCTTGACGCGTGAGATCTTTGACTGTCCAGGGAAAGACGGCTGTTGTGTAGAGATTCTCTGTGATTGGTGGCTCGAGATGACCGGGAGGTCGTGTCACCGTCTTCATTGAGATGAGAGTGAGAGCCTTTCGATCCGCTGTCTTCAAAGCTCAATACTGTGATGTCCCCCCTGGTGACGTGGCCTCTGACAAGACTAGGGCGTCCCTCTCTGAGGAGTTGGATTTTGTCAACAATGATGAGAGAAGAGCTTTGCATCAATACAATGAGGGTGACAGAGCACTGGGAGACAAGAACAAAGCTTTGTTTGTTTTAGTAGAGGTTTTAGTTTTACGGCGCTTGCAACGGCACAAGGTCATATGAGCGCCAGAAGATTAGAGGTGTTACAAGAGAGTAAGAAACATAAAAAAAGAAGAAGTGGAGATAAGGACGATAGATGTTTGATAGGAAAGAAGGATCAAACCACACCAGAGCACCTGCCAACCACTCACACCCAAGCTTATACACGTGGCACATTATATATATAGAGAGAGATATGATCAGAATAGTAAGAAAAAGGGTTTGTCAAAGAAGCTGTGCAGTGTCTGGTAGGGAGTCCGACTTCAGTGATAGAAACAGTTAAAACATTTTAAGCGATCACATTCAGTCTTGTATCTCTTCACGTTAAGTGCTCACAGGTCTTAAATTTACAATAATGTCTTGGCCAGTACGTTCATACCACAGTTTTACAGCTCCCCTCCCCCCCTCTACAAAGAGCACAGCAGTGAGACAAATTCTCAAATGCTATCATGCACTATATTTAATTCCACAACTTAAATGTAACAAGATAGAATTTAATACCTGTATGAACATTCACTTCATTAAAGTTGTACTTAAAGAATATATTTATAGTAGCTCAACGAATGACACTTATGTGTCCTGAAAGCAGTAATGGGGGAGAGGGGACAGACCTATATCTGCAGAGCAAGGCTAGAGGTTGTTATGTTACTCTTCTCTTCTCATTTCCTAATTTATCATAAAGACTCTCTTACCAAGGATACCTGGGTCAACCCACCACCAAGAGTTGACCAAATACCAAGAAGCCATTCATACATCGATGTATATTATTTTGAACCAATCATCTTCCGCTAACACATGCTATATTTATGAACATGATAAACCTAAAAATCTTTCATTCCCCAATTTTCAACAACCTTCAGTTACAAACTTCAAGCACATTATATTTATTAATTGTATAATATTATAGACAATAACAAACACACAAGTCATGTACATCCATAGAGATGTAAACTGTTGTCATGAAACTAGTGGTCATTAGCTACAAATACAAAAGAGGCTAACTTGGGTATTTGTCACAGTAATTCATGAAACTTTTGTTCAAATTTGTGCTTAACTATCTTTGACAAATGACAATGACATTCTATTTGATATACATGATATGTTTCATGTACGGTACTACAATAAATTCGGAAGCCTACAACAAAATCATGCAAATCCACTTATATAACTACGAGTATTTAGGTGCACTTGACGGATCAGTTAAGACAGGGCATAAGGTTGAGGAAGAAGAACAAGGAGAAGAAGGAAGACAGGGCCATGACTCATGCTGCTCTGGGTTTTGTAACAGGAATATCTCAAGGTCATTATTCATCACGACTGAAAGTTCAAGCTGCAGTTCAAAAAATGAGTTATGTAAAGTACACACTCCTCTGATCAAACACTAGAGCAAACACTTTACTGTACAGTTTCCAGTGACAAAACAAAGAGTGCGGCACACACGGAGGGGGGGGGGGGGGGGGGGGAATGTCAAGAGTACTTATTTTATCATATGTAATACCAAGAACAAAACCCTCATGATAGGCCTACTTTACGTTTTAAAGAAAAGGACATGCTCTGAAAATGGAGACAAGATTAAAAAAAAAAAAGAAAGAGAAACTCAAATGGAGATGTACCTGTTTGTTGGTTACCTTTACCATACAATGTTTTCATAGTAAAGTAACATGAATAAGATTCTTGGTTTGAATTAACTACAGTATCAAGGTCCTAACAAGAACCAGCATCTGAAAAGTAATGGGAAAATTCTCTGCCTCTCACTCAGAGGATTTCAAATCAATTTCCATCCGGATGGAGAAGAAATTTTATGGGGTGTCTCTGTCTTTCTTCACATAACCAAGTTGGCATTTTAAGGCAAGGTTGAAGCTGCCCACTTCCTGGCTGATTTAAACTGCGTTAAAGGTGCAAAACACAAAAACATTTCCTACAATAAGTTCGCTGTATGCTATACTATACTATTAAAATGGACTTCTCTGTCCTCATGACACTCACGGAATTGGTGGCAGTCCAACTTTCCTGTAGTGCTGCCAGCCTTCATTGAACGTCGTTGCGAGGCGAATACGCTTGGTGTAATACTTTATCACTTTCATAAGGTATGGGTCATTACGGCACCTGAGGGAACAGAAGCATGTTGGCCATCTAGTATTCTGTTATATATTGAGTGGGTGTCACATTAGATCAAAAGCTCTATTAGTCGCCATATAGTAAGTGTCGTTAACATGGGGTTAAGTGGGTGGTCACTGGGGTGTCCCTGAGCAAGACACGACAACCCAAGCTAAAAAAACAAGGCGCTGCACAGTGGCGACCAGCAATGGCATGGTTGTGAAATTGTTCTGTTCTGGTGTAGTATTGCGTATTTATGTATATGTATTTAAGTATGTATGTATCTATAATAATGTATTTATGTATATGTATGTTTTACATTGTAATCCAAATTGCCCTTCTGAGATCAATAAAAAATGTAATCTATACATGATATGTATCGTCTAACATGCATATAATTAAAGAAACACGCACACAGTGAACAGATTTTCAGGTCATGAATTTTTGCTTTAATTTTAATACATATGTACTTAATAATAATTATAATAATAATTGCATTTACATAGCGCATATCCATGCTCAAGAGCATGCTCTATGCGCTTTACAACTATTATTACCCCAGCAGACCCTCTGAGAACACTCAGAAACATTCTCGGATTCCGCGGAAGCATACAGTGCAAGTTGCAGATTTCACGCACTCAAACACTATCAAATACATGTATTCTTTGTATCTAAAGCATGAACATAGTGAAATTCATACATTAAGAAAAGATCACAGCATCCTGCCTGTTTTGTTACGGGTGTACTGGACTGTACTTCTTTGTCATAACTGTCAGATTCAAGGTAGAAGAACATTCCAGCACTGACACATAAACCTTGTTGAGTTTTAAAATTGAACTAGGCTCTCAACCATTTAAAAAAAATCTAACTTCTCAAACTAAAATGAATGAAAGTGAGGAATACATCATTCAAATACGTTTTCTTTCAACATCAAACTTGGAGGAGAAACTGACCACACACAAGATGAAATGTCTGAGAAGAGCAACAAACAAGTCCAGGAGAGACCAGATCCTGAACAGGGAGGACCCACCATATGGAACGACGGAGAATAAACTGGTTTGGCCACCTCTCAGAACTGATCTCATAGACCAACCAGCACTATGACTACAAGAGTACAACAAAAGGCGTTCTGGTCACAGAAACAGAGGGAGAAAATGATGTCCCTGGAAGGACTATGTAAAGGCAACCATCAGATCCCACGACCTGACCCTCCTCCAACACCGGCAGCTGACAGACAATTGTTACCCCCCCCCCCCCCCACACACACACACACACACACACACACACACACACACACACAACATTCACCAGTACCAGCAGAAGGAAACAACAACAAAAATAAAGTAAGTCGTACATAATTATAAAATTATAAAATCTGACAATGGTCACTCACTTGTGTAACATAAGCCGTTCGCCTTTGTGATCATGTGACAAGTAACCCAAAGCTATGGCGGCGTTTCCCCGCACTTGCTCCGCCTGGGACAAGAGAAGCTGGCACAAGTAGTCCACAGCATTGATAGCCACAATAGCAGCAGGCACACCTGGTCACAGAGACAGGCCACAACATACATCAATAAAGAATCGGGAAATTCTCTTCCAACCATTGAATAGTTATAGGACTATTATATATATATATATATATATATATATATATATATCTGTATTTAATGGGTAAATCTGTATTGAACTATTGAACATTAGTTGACTATTTATTGAATTTGCACAATTTTATCTTCAATTTACTAATAAATCTTTTCTGCATAATCAAATATGTAGTAAACTTAATGTTTTAGTGAGCTCATGACAAAATCATAAAATGTGACTTCTTTTTTCTTTTCCTTCTTCTTTTCGTTTTTCGTTATCTTTCTCTCAGATGAAGCCAGTCTTTGCACCACAATTGGTTTTGAACTGGGCTAACATGCAGAATGTTCTTACAAGTCGTACAGTAAGTCTGAGAGGAGCCTTGGTCTTTTAAAATTAATTTCTATTTTAGTCAATGTCAGTCCAGAGCCTTGACAATTTGAGGCAGTAGGGGAAGCTGTGACTCAGCCTTTGAAACAGCCTTGAAGGAATTAAGTATGGATTTTTTATTTTTTTTAAAACAAAATAATCAGATAATGTTTATGGAACGTAACTGCTCCCTTGCACTCCACTAAGAGAAATCCAACAGATGGGCAATGGGAAAAGACCATGATAATACAGGTATGAAGTCTTTGGAGAGCAGCCAAGCAGACAAATGTGAGGCAAACCATGACTGCTAATATTTGTTTCTGATGTAGCCTATGAAGAAGAAGAAGAACAGTTTTGTACAGTTCACAGCATGTGTTACAGTCAGCTAACGTCTCTGTACCTGCCCTGGTATGACTCAGGCTGGCCACACAGTCTGCTGCCAGGGCCTGAACCTCTTCAGACTGTGAGTCCTGTAGCAGATCCACCAATAGTTTGATGCCTGCCGCTGAGGACTTGGCTTGCTCCTCATTTGGAATTATCCGAGCCAGTATGACAACCTGGGACAGGAAATTTTAAAGTATCAATTATACTGGCAATCTTGGTTGAACGATCAGAATCTTTATCTTGCATGTAGAAAATGTTATCCAATTTCCATGGGGGGGAAATTTAACCTTTGTCCTGTTTCTCTGTCTTTCACGGAGAATGTTTTCCACACTGCCCAGATTGGCCCTGCCCTGACTGGCAGGCTAAAGTAACCGACCTCGAATATTACACATGCTTACGTCAAAGGAGTTTTTAAAATTTACAACCTTTTGAGAAGTTGTTTTTTTCTCATTTTGTCCCTCCACACAGGTGGTTAGTGCAGGCTATTTCCTCTGCTTTGATTTTTTTAAAGTTTTCTATTAATTCCATTATAACATTTTCAGTAAAATATTGCCAATTCGACCCTGACTCGAGACGGAGTAAAATACGCGTCATCCAGAATTTTTCCACAAGATCTTGTATAAGTTGTGAATCTGTCAGGTTTGTGGGAAGCCTTTTAAAAGTTATGCTGTTTCAGAGTCAACCAAATTGTGAAAACCACTAAGCCAGTTATCTTGAACAAATTCGAGACTGATCTTTGGCCCTTATTTCGTTTTAGTTTGTCACACTCTCTTCCCTCGAAACATAAAAAAAGTAGTCTTTTAGGTTATCAATTCAGAGAGCAATCCTCTTTATATATAACAATATATCCAATCCATCCCACCAGTAAATTAGTTTAAATAACAACTGAAGTACTCCTTGTTATAGTAAAGATAGTTTGTAGATAATCTCAGGGATTACCTGATAGGCTGCATTGCACCGATAGAACTCGTCATCTGACTGCAGGAAAGGGACAAAGCAATCGAAGCGAACTCCGCCCTGCTCTGCAATTTCCTTCTGTTGTTGGAGGTTGTTGTACGCAAAAGCTGCCAAGGCTGATCCAGCCAATAGTCGTACGATAGGTTGTCGAGAGTACAGCATTTTCAAGATTCGTACATAGCTGAAATCAGCACTTTGAAAAATTTCATCTAAGATGTCCTTATTTCCTGAGGAAAATAAGAAATTCTTTTAAAATACACATTTGGTAAGACACACAACTCCATACTCATCCTCAACTCAAAATCAAATATTCACCTGCCACTCTGGAATCTGGCTGATGAATTATATTACATGTATTGCTCTCGACTTTTCAGCCACACTGTCTATTCTCCACCTCCCTTTCTTCCATTTAAAAAAAATCATGGAACATCCTCTCAACATGACTCCACCTTGCAGAAGTAATAGACTTTCTGTCTTTTAGAAAAGGGAATATAAATAACCTAACCTTTTTGGAGGAAGGAATGGCAATGATAGCAAAGTGATTTTAATGCCAGGTGCACCATCAAATAAAAGTTGTAGAGATAGAATTCCTTGCTGCAGAGTCCAATGTGAGATTCCTGAGACAGACATTTTGCAAACTTTACTTCGCACCAAAAACATACAAATAAACTGCCTGGGAAGGGGGGGGGGGTATTTGGAGAAGAAACCCATAATAAGAGAGTTCTTGTCCACCAAGAGATCAAATATTTTCTAGCTGGCATAACATTACATAAACTAGCAGGAGCATTGACCCTACAAACACCATTTACGTTAGGAAGCGGCTGTTCCCACCATGCCTGAGAAAGCTTTGCAGGTCTGTGTCAAATACATATTTAACCAAAAAGACAGAGCTAGTTTATAAAATATATATCCAGCGCACATATTAACTTGCATCCTTGGTGTGAAAGACAAAGACACTAACCACTACATTTGGCATGCTGGTTAGGGGCAGCGTTAACTTAAACATACCTAAAGACACACAGCCTAGTGTAAAAGCAGCTTCCACCTGGACTTCCTCGTTAGCCGAGTGCACCATGAGAGCCACCAGGAACTTGATCCCACGTGACTGGGAAATGGTGTTCTGGTTTTTCTCGTGAGGGACACACCCAACACCCACACACAAATATCTGAAGGGGAAGAGGTTACGGGGGGAGGAATAGATAATAGTAGTTGTAGTTTGCTAGTTATTTCAGTACCATAAATTATTACATAATACAATCAGTACAGTGACTCAGCGGAGAGTTATCGGTTATCGGAATGTTTCTTGGCAATATATCTTAAATCATCAATTCTAAATTCAAGATAAAGTTTGCAAACTTGACAAGCTGAAATTATTACCTGCTGTTAATGAAATTGTAATTGAAATATTTATCCATTTTAAGACAGCCAAATGATCTTCAAGACAATATTTCTTATGAACGCTCTCATATTTTGGACTTAAAATTCATTTTTTATTATATAAACAGGCCACGAAGTGCAGAAATCATGATTATATAAATTTAAGCCTCACAATTTTGATTTCAAAGACAATCTGAAGGTTTGGAGTAAATGAATAGCTCCATTTGTTTCTAAGTCACATAATAATGGATTAACGTATGGTGCTCCTTAAATAAGCCCATCAATGTCAGTATCAAATTTCTCATAAAATCCTCTCTCGTATTGGACCTGGTTCTGTATTCATTAGCACTTATATTCATCAGTCTTTCTATAAAATCATAATGGTCAATGTCACGACACTGTAGGACGTACCTTATGGTTCTGATGACACTGCGGACAATGTGTTCTTGATGGGATTTCATGAGCCGCACCAATGGGTGGATTCCGTTGGCGTTCGCTATGAGAGTCTGTTGATTCAGAGGACCCTGTGCTAGCACTCCGAGGCCCTCAGAGCCAATGTAGTGCAGATTTTCAGACATGGAGTTCACAAACTCAATGAGCATTTGCACCCCAATTCCATTTGCCATCTCGCGTCTTTCATCAATGTTTTCACCGGCAAGTGCCCATAAAGCCATTGCTGTTTTTTCTTGTAAGGCCTCTGCCCTGCAGAAAGAGAGAGAGAGAGAGAAAATAATATATCCATAACTACGACTTTAAGAGAAAAACAAACATAAGACCTTTGAATCAAACTCAGTACTTAATTTCAGTGAAGTTAAATATTATTCTCAGGGAGTCTGACAAATCAAAGGTAAGATGAATATAGAGCTCCACTTTTATTGATGTAATTTATAGAAGGATAAAAGTTTGTCTCTCATATATACTTCGCCTTGACCATAGGTGGGCACCCTGGTGACGTCAACCCTTTTTTTAAAACTAGCATATAGTGTCAAATATGGTCCTAATCTGTTTCTGATGAAATGTTGCCTCGGTCAAGTCTACCTGTCATAAACAAAAACTTAAATACATCAACAATAACACAGATTTAAAGTACCTGTTTTTCTTGAGCATCTGCATGAGCAGTCTTTCAGCACCTTTGTCAAGAAGATCCTTCTGTGTTTGTTTGTTGGCTTCTGCAAGGCGATGAATTGCTTCCACAGCACTGGCCTATATGAAAAAGAGAAATGACAAAATAAATTGTCAGACAATGGTGTAAATCACAATATGAAAACTTATAGCAAAGACAAATTAATAAGTTACAGTTTAAAAATGAACGAAATTGTACGATGCATAATTACAATAAATGTATGATAATGATATATAATCGGATGAAAAAGACAGATTTTTTCAGATTTAATAGGTAATAATGTTTCTTCTTTCAGTTCAAAACTCACCTGAATTTCTTTGTTCCTGATTTGATGCATTACAACATTAACAATGTGATGAGTTATCCCCTCATTGACGAAAGCACTTTGGTTGGCCTTATCCCCCTTAGCGATATCCGAGACAGCATTTGTCAAGGCCAGAAGCAAGCCGGGGTGAGAGTTCGTCTCAAACTGAGAGACCAAACTGGCAATAAGTCCTTGTGTGCTCCCTATGGAGCCTCGTAACTTGGCCGACGTTTCGGCTACATTCCCCAGAGCCTGGACAACTGGCACCAAGACTTCCGGATCATGGACAGTTTGGAGAACCTGACAAACAGAAAGTCAGCAGAAATAATTATACTTCCCACCATTGAACTAGATCAATGCAAAAAATTTCTCAAGATCATTTGGTAAGAATAGATCTTATCAAGTACGGTGATGTTCCAGGACAGGAGCGAACAGCTTTCAGAAACATCAAAGTTATAATCCTTACCAATTTCTGACATGAAAACAGTATTAAAATCAAGATAAAACTAAAACCTACCATATGTGTCCTTATATATTATGTCCTCACATATGTGTCATTTCCAAAACATTTTTATTTAAATGGGAAAACTTGAAAAACAACAGTTAGGTGGTATTTTTTTAAAGCCAATATAGATATTTTCTTTTCAGAGTAAAACATTGCCTTTTCATGGATTTTCTCACCACTGCCAAGTATATAAATACAATCTTGATATACATGCTAAAAAATGGTTCATTGAGAAATATGCTTCATGCCTTATGCAAAGCTGGAATAGCTTGGTTCTGGGATAACAGCTCTGCAAAGTCTTCCTTCTTTGCCAGCTCTCGGATCACTTCTGCAGACAACTGCACAGCATAATTGTTGGAAGACTTGAGCAGTTTCACAAATGCTGGAATGCCGCCAGACGACACCAGTTGTTCCTGGAATGAAAGATCTCGTAAAATCACTAATCTCTGAACTAAAATGCTGCTCCTCAATCATTAAGGCAATACTTTACAATATTTACTTACTTACTTACTACCCGTTTTTACCATTTTATTCAGGGCTTTTTTCTAGTCTCACATCCCTTTTCATGATATCAAACAACTGTAATAATGACCCTATCAGAGATGGGTCTAAGCCACAAAGTTTAAGTAAAAGGGGTTTTCAACCCATACCAACTAGAGAACCCAAAGCAGACAAGCGAGTTTCTGTCAAGCCACAATGAAAGGGTATTATAGGATTCAAACCTGAGCCTGCTTATCCCACTTTTTGCCTACTCTACCCATCTGCCAAAAACAAATTTTCCCCTTGAATTTTAGAACACAAAACAAACCCATAAAAATCGTGCAAGTCTGCATAAAGAGAGTAAAAACCATTACTTGATTCATATTTTAATTGTTGTGATAGACAATTTTTTCACTACACAGAGCACATTTATATTTTCAAGCACAACAACCACTGCAATAGCATCGCTACTTTTGAGTTTAAAGAGATTTGGTGCATAAATCAGAAACCAAATATTGTCTTCTTCCTCTCTCAAAGACCTCTTTCCACCCCTTCCAAAAGAGAAAGGCCTCCAAACACCACCAGCTTTGTACTCCATTCAACACCCAGACAAAGCCTTTGAAAAAAAAAACCCAGTTCATTCCTTCACTGCATGTAAAAGCACTTACAGAAACAAATTTAAAGTAGAAGACATGTACAGGCCTATGCCAGATGTGTAAGGGAAGGAAAAAACGTCATATTTCACCTGAACTTCAGAGCGCTCAATCACATTGAGGAGAGTTTGAAACGCCGGGATTTTGGCGTAGTCTTGCAGGGTACTTTTGGCCACTTTTACCACCACTGGAACGCCGCCATTGTCATAGAATGCTCTCCACTCAGGGCTAATTTTCAAACAGAAAATTTTTAAGATTTAGCATAAAACAACTGGAATCATTTCAATTTAAAGATAGGCAACACATTGTAAAAATAACATTATAATTGCTGCTCTTATGAAATATTGAAACTGTGTTGGAACTAAACTAAGCTAAAATATTTCAACTAACAGCTGTTTAAAAAAGTTATTTCCTCGACTTTGAAATGCAAATGAAATATTCTCCTCTTGATATTAGTTTGAGATTTGAAAAGAGGAGACTACATAGAGAAGAAGTTTGGGAGGGCGGGGTATGACTGGTGCTCGGCATTGAGATATCATAAAAACCTTAAATCTTATCAATAAATGAGAATAATGCTTTTCATGTTAGAGAAACATGGAACTGACCATCTTACTACACACATATACACTTGCATTTGATATATTTCTTTAAACAAATAATGATAAAACCTTTGTTTCCTTAAAAATAACTGCTGAAATCACCAAATTTAATGATAATTACATCAATCTACAAGAAGACCTACCGAGGTCATTATATATAGAGATTGTGTCTATATTAATAAACTAAAATTGTTGATAGAGTGTTTTGACTTGTCAACACAACTCATTCATGTTAAATGCAGAAACTGCCAAACCTAGACGTCAGAGCCACCTTGGATGCGTGGGAAAAATGTCTCAACAGGAAGACGTACATAAGTGCATAATGAAAAACCTCTCTCAGTCCTCCACCCCAACCCCGAGGTAATCGAACTCATGACTTTTGCAAGCAAGGCAAAGACTTTGAAGCTTCAAGTCACAGACAACAACCATAATAATATATTATGGTCGCATTCAAGCACAAGGGGGGCTATCTCGAAAAATGTTGTTTTGAGAAAATCGAAGTTAAAGTTTTCGACCCTTGTTCAGTTTCTTTAAAAGACATGAAGTGTTTTCTCTATAACCAAACAAATTTAGACACCAATGAAACCAAACTTCTACTATAGGTGGGGCAATACCCACTTTTGGTGTAGGTCAAGATTTCTGGAAATCCCCGAAATCTGGGTTAGCCCGCTTAACTTAAAGGCGACCATATGTATTTACTTAAGAAAAAAACAGAAAGTTCATGAGTCCATATGAAGTACCTCGACTATAAGCCATAGATGCCAATTACTCCCTTACAGTAGATATCCTACATCGTAGCACAATAAATTAGACTTATGACGTCACATCTTCATCAAGCGCCATATCTGCAACAGACATCGGCGACCATGGCTCTCCATCCATTTTTTTTCTCAAGAATGCTCTAAAAAAAGCTGCTATTATTCTGATCTTTCCCCATCTCCTATCTGTCTAGACACTCCAAGTACCTTGCTCTGGGACTACCCCTGCCTCTTTTGCCGTCAGTTTTGCCAGTGAAGTGAGAGCTAGATGTTCAAGGCCGTTATATCCATATTTAACGTACCTTATTCCCACCTCCTCCGACCGATCTGTGAGCGTCCTCAAACACTTCCCGGCCGCCTCCGCCTCCTCCTCCACATCGGAGGCCATCATCTTCAACAAGTTCTTCCAGACTGGCAGGTTGTCCAGAGACAGAGAGATAAAGTGGCGGAGAAGGGTGATGTACTCCTTGACGGCGCAAATCTCCACTGCCCCATGGTTCTGGGAGTTGATCACGTTCACCTGAACAACAGACAACAAGTTTGTTTCTTCTTATAAGGCATTTGGCATGAGTTAAAAGTACTGCCAGCTACAAATAGATATGTTTTTCATCCATCACCATCATCATCATCATCATCATCATCATCATCATCATCATCATCATCATCATCATCATCATCATCATCATCATCATCATCCTCATCATCA